TGCATAAATTAGTAGCATCTCTCTCTCTCCTCTCTTCTCTCTTTCTCTCTTGTAAATTTATTTATAAGGCGAAAGTTTCCTGCCGTTGTTCAAGATCTCTCCAGGTTCCACCAAGTTTGACATTTACATGACACGCGGCACAAGAGACACAAGCCTACCTCTCGGATAACATCCAGAGATTGCCTTTCGGGGAAAGTTGGGTTGAACCCACGCAAAATATGTCGAGCAGCAGGGGGAGAGAGAATTTTACTTTGACTCAATTAGGCGCATAAATTAGAAAAGTCTATCGCAAGTTAGGGCAGGTCCTTTTTGCCATGCGATTAATACGATTAGAAGCAACAGCGAACAATGAACAATTTTCGTATAATTAATGCGAATAGTTGGCATTTTTATAATGTTTCCCCCTTCACTGCCTTAAAGCCCTTTTTGGGGGCCAGGAAATGGAGATGTGGCCTGGGTATTTATGTGTGTACGGAGTGGCTCATGCATTTGCCTTGGCCGCCAGCCAAGTGCCTGCCTCAGACAGGCCAACACTTTGCTCTATTGTTTTCCCCAGCAACAAGAAGAAAGGCAAGAAAAACAACTAAAATGGAAAACAAAAACAAAAACTGTGTAAAAGAAGTCCTCAAACGAATACTTTTTGACGCGCCAGCTGGGCCGCAATGCAGTCGGTGTCATTTCCACTTCCTAACCGAAAAAATCAAATCGTTTTTGGTAGAGAGAGGGAGAGAGAGAGTGAGGACTAAAGGGCAAAGGGTAAAGGGCAAAGCCAGCAGGTCATGTCCTGGGCAACAAAAACTTTGATGCAATTATTTGCATGCGGGCGAACAAAATGTTTTTCATTTGCATAGGACTCGACTTTCAATTGCCAGAAGAATGCAAATAAAAAGAGACGAAATTTGCAATTGAATTTGAGACAAATTAGATAAGAACTTAGGCAAATTCAACAGACTAGAGATATTTAAAAAAAGTTACAAGTAAAACTAACTTTCTTCAAGAATTTTAGCAGCTGATAACTTAAATGTATTCCTGCTTAAAGCATAGTTTATTATTTCACTTTTAATTTCAATGAAACTCCTTGTTAATGTCGTGCGAGTTTTATCCACGATATTTCCGAAATAAAGCCCATTCCATGGCCACTCTTCCTTCCTGCTGCCGTAGTCTTGTCATTCAATTGTTTTCGACTGTGTTCCCCCACACACACACACACACACACACAGTCGGGGCCAGAACCACTCCAAAGTATGACTTGCAAATGCACCAACCAGTCGCTAACCAGAGGAAAGTTTTGCATATTCCCATTACCAATCCTCCAACCACCAGCCCCTACCAGCCCCCACTCTACGTGTACAGTACTGTACGGTACGTACTGCCACAGACCGTTCTCCAGCAATTTTAGAGCTTCACGTAGCAGGGCCTAAATTATGTCCTGTTTCGGAGAGTCGCTTTTGGTTGGTTGAGCCCGGAGTCCGGAGTCCCATGCCACGGTTTTTGGACTCTGTCTGTGGCCACATTGCGTATACGCCCGCTAGTCCCTCGTTAATTGCAATGTTTGTCATTTGCCTGTCAATTTGCATTTAAATTACAAAATTTAAACGCTCTTTTTGCGATCCTACATCCTAGGAACTTTACGACTGCAAAGATACTTATAGATGACGATACAGCCAGAAAGAGGAGTAGCACCAGCATCAGCATCAGCAGAAGAAGGTGGCAACGAGGCATTTGTCATGATGGAGCCCATTGGAGAGTCACTTAGACGTATGCCTTTTGAAGGCCATGCCCATTGTGTATACAGGAGTACATTCGCTTAACCCAATCTTTTGTTTATGTGGATTCTCCTTAACGGGCCACGGCCGGGTTAACGTTTTTTGGGGGCTAATTTTGTTGCAAATTGTTCGACTGTAAAAAAAACGAGAGATGGGTGGGTGCTAAGGGAAGGGAGTGAAAACGAAATTGCCGTGTTAATCATGGCTGCCGACTGCCGACTGTCGACTGCTGACTGACCTCGAACTTTGCTCTCTGACGCGCGCTTGGGATGTTTGCCATTTAATTAAAGCGACACCGACACCCAACCAGGCAGGCCACCATCGCCATCACCATCACCATCTCGTACTCGTGCTCGTGCTCGTCCTTAGTCCTTGTGCGTGTTGACCTTATTATGTTGACTTTGTGTGCAGTGCATAAACTGTGATAAAAATCGCATATTCCACGCGGCGTTGGCGCTGCCGTTGCCTGCCTGCCAGCCAGCCACGAGCTAGATGAACGTGGCTTTACTCTCTGCTCCCTATATCCTATAGAGTATCTCCCACCACCTCAAACCCATCTCCTGCCCCTTTTTTAAATGTCTATAATTTATGTTTGGCCGTTAAACTCGCTGGCGCTGACTTCAGCCTTCCTTCCGCCTTCCGCCTGCCGCCTTTCGCCTTTGGCTTTAGCTCTCTGCCTCTGCCCCTGCCACTGACTCCTCACTTTGCTTACAACAATTTGATGGCATATAATTATTAGTTCGTATAATTTATGGCTTCATTTTGAGCTTCACAAAGTTGTGGAGAGCTCAGTGCTCTGTGTGCTGTGTGCTGCCTCTTGTCTCTTGTGCATTTCAAGTCGTCCTTTGGTGGGGCTGGGGCTCCCTATCGCTGATTTATAACTAATTTAGCTGACATTTTTATGGGATATCGGGAAGTGCAGCTGCTGCAAGTGATTTTAATCAGCTTTCGGGGCAATATGCAAAAAAGCACAAGCATAAAAAAAATGTTCTTTTGCCAATCAAATTTTCGGCCCATCAAAGTATAAGGAAAGGAACGGGCAAGACACTAGTGTGAATATAAAATTATAAGAAACTTTGTAATTGGCTGAAACTTTGTCAAGAAGTTATGAAATGTAGAAAGTATAGAGATATCTGAATATCCTTCAAATAAAGCCATAGTCTGCCAGCAGCTGCCATGGGGAAAATATTAATTGCTTTTCACCAATTGTAAAGGGAATGGAGTTGTGGTTCGGTAATGTCCCGCTCTCTTAGTGGTGACTAAGTTTAGTCGATGGCAAATTTTAGGAGTTCAAACCGCTGTCTCCCTCTCTCGCTCTCTGTTGTGGTTGCATTTCGCTGTCAGAAACTGGAAGGCCGCAAAGTGCGGAGGGGGCCTTCTTGAGCAGGCCAGTGAGTGGTTTTGTGTCCGTGCCACGAACCACTCATTAAAGGGCTTCGTGAATGGTGAGTGTGTGTGTGCCCACGCGATGTATTCGAGCAAATTGTAGGCCTCCTCCACGGCTTGCAGGACCACGAGCAGGCACGGCTAACAGGACCAAGACCTGCAACAGGAACCACACAAGGACCTGAAATGCCAGAGAGAGACATGGCTTAAGCCGATTTGGTACACACAACGAACTTTGAACTGTCACTAAATGCGTCCTTCGTCCTTCATGGGCTCCTGTATTTGGCTGCTGCTGCTGCTGCTGGATGTTCTTTTTTCTTCGTTGAACTTTGAAGGCGTCGAAAAGGCCTAATTATCTTAATTAATGAGAGCCAAAGCGAATTTCGTGGAAGACAAATGTGCTGCTGCCCCGCACTGCTGCTGCTGCCTGGCGGCATTCACTCACTGCCTCTCTGTTTTTCTCTCTCCCTCTATCTCTGTGAGGCTGCAAGGACGTTCTGTGGGTGCCATTTTAATTGTCCCTTCCCCTTCTCCATCCCCAACCGACTGTCTGTGTGTCTGTTTGTATTTGTGTGTGGCTGTATCTGTGTGTTTGTGTGATTTTCATTAATTTTGCTTCGTTTTTACCATTTGCCAGCGTCGTCGGTGGCTGCGGCCGATTTTGGTTTATGGCCTCGCTCCTGCGCTCACTCGCTCGCTCGCTGGCTGTCTCTCTGTCTTTCTGTCTGCCTGTCTGAATGCGGTTTCGGGTATGCCACAGAACGACGCAGGAAAAAGGCTCTGGCAAATGCCCGCCAGGCAATAAGTGGAAAAGCGTGCTAGGTACCAAGGCAAAACCCCGGTTGAGGGAAGCTTCTGGGATAGGGATAGAGGGTGAGTGGGTTAAAACAGGGAGATAGAGTGGGAGAGAGAGAGAGAGAGAGAGAGAGAGAGAAAGCGGTGTGACAGTGAAAGAAATGCGGTAGCTGGGAAAACAATAATAATGAGGCGCCATACAAACACACGGTGCAACACTTTGGCCAAACAAATTGTTAAATGCCATTGACGATGGCGACGCGACGCGGCGCGACGACCATAGCATAAAGGCAGGCGGTGGTAAAGCCGCATGGAGGCCATGTGGACGTTGTGTGTGGCACAGAGTGTGTGTGGTAGAAAGTGTGGTATGAGGTGGAGTATAGGACTGAAAATCTATGCGGCGTTTTGTGGCTAAGTGGGTTTCGAGCTTCTTTTTCCCTTTGATAGATGTGCATGGATCCCAAGTGGAACCCATGTGGTGCCTAAGTCATATGGGGTCCCTGGGGAGCACGTGCAGGTATTTACGGAGTAACTCCATGTAGAACCCAAGTTTTGTTATTTACAGGAATTAACTGTGGACTTCAAATTCGCAATGTGTTCCACAATCCTGTGCGCAAGCGCTTTCCAGCCTCAAAACTTGCTCTCTCTTGAAACCGAAGAGAGCGTCAGAGCGAGCTTTTGTGGATTCTATGTTCTATGTCCTGGAACTGGGACAACATTTTTGGCATTTTCCCCCATTTTATGCGAGTATATGGCCAATTCTTTTGTTGTTGTCTGTCTTTACTTTTGGATACCGGCATGAAGGCAGTTCGGTTTCGGTTCGTCTGAGTGACCCGCAAAAGGCAACGTCAAGTGCCCCCGAATCGACTGCCTAACGCTTGGCCGACAATGGAAGAGCAGGGCAGGGCAGGCACTGGACAGAAGCAGAATCTGGGGTACTCCTTCGTGTTGATTAAGCAAAGTGTTAGACTAAAAGGAAATGGCGAAAAAAGGATATATTATTGCTTGTAAGGGGTTTCAGAAAAATCGGAGTAAAGGACACTCTGTATGCCGTCTTTCTTGCAATACATTACTATATTTGATTATTTAACATCAAAAACAATAGCCTACAAATCATAATCATACAATATTTCACACATTTTCCACCACAAAGACTTTCATCAAAGACTTGAATTTTTATAGAAGTTTTTCCATGGCATTTTGTATTACGAGTTCGTTTCCGGTAGAGGGGAAGCAGTTCGTCATCATCATAATCCACAAATCGATTGGTTTTAGGCCGCCGTCGTTTGCTGCTGCTCCTGCGTGGTGCTGGTGGAGATGGCGGCCGCCGATTCGGGGGCCTTCTCGCTGATGGCCAGCCAGGGGCAGCGCTTCTGCAGCTCCATGCGATATCTGGGATGACTGATGGCATACACGAAGGGATCTATGCAGGCCACCATTTTGCAGGTGCAGGCGGGGATCATTGTGGCGCCGGGAGTGAGCAAAGTCTTGTCCCCAAATGCTCCAATGAGGGACATCACGCCGTATGGTGTCCAGGACGCAAAGAACAGGAAACAAATGGTGATGGCCGCCTTGGCAATGCGAATTTCTGCAGCCTCCTTGCTCTTGTCCACATTTGAGCGCAGCGAATCGACATTCATCTTCTTGGCCTGATCACGCAGCGCCTTCTCGTGGCTAAACACATGGCCCACAATCTGCGAGTAGTAGTACGTGATCATGGTGGTGGGGCAGACGAAGCTGAAGAAGAAGATGCAGGCCACGAAGAGACGCGTATCAAAGTTATCCGTCAGATAATCAAAGGTGCACGACGTGAGATATCCTTCGGGGACGAAGCGGCCCCAGGATTCCGTGTAGCAGGCCACCACCCAGGGCGTGGCATACAGATAGATGAAAATTATCATGGCTATGGCCTTGCCATGCGTCATCTTGCCCTCCATGGGTCGCGTTATCACATTGTAGCGGTCGTAGGCGATGAAGGCGTTCGTGGCACCCGCCGCAATCCCCGTGTAGGAGCCAATGACCCCGAAGATCTGACAGCCCAAGTGTCCCAGGGCATAGCCCTGATGGAAGCTGTTGTAGATGAAGATGGGCGTCTTGATCATCATCATAAAGTCGCAGAAGGCCAGATTGATCACAAGGATGTTGGACGGAGTCCTTAGCGACTTGGCCGCGGAGAAGACCCACATTACGAGGCCATTCCCAATCATCGATATGACCGTAAAGAAGATGTAGAGCGTACCCAGCAGATAGTTCATCGATTCCGGCGGCTCCGGGTATATCAGCCAGTGTTCGGGTATGTGACGTAGTTCATCCGGCGGCACATTCCAGCCCAGGAGACGCGATTCTGCGGAGAGTCGCGCATCCGGACGCAACACACTGGACACATTGCCAAGAACACTACTCACGTTGTGGTACTCCATTCTCCCGGCCTTTTGGGCCAAGACAAAATCACAGCAACGCTCGGGCATCGGACTTTATATTCTCATTCGGAATTGGATTAGCCATTGGGTTACGGTTACGGCTAATGCAACCTCAGCAGCAAGAGGGCATGTGGCTGTGGGATTACCAGGCGGCGGGGATTGACCTAATCCGTCGGCTGACATTCTGCTGATACATCATTTGGCTTTACTTTGATTCGTCTTCGCTGTGGAAGGAAGGTCATTGCTTGCGGCCTTTTTTTCAGCCGCTGAGAGTGATTGGTACCCCTTTTTTACCCCCATTTTAGTGTGGGGCTTAATCAGGCCTAAACTTGAACTAAATCATAGAAATCCCCCCGCTAATAGTTTAGTCAAGCGTTCAAAAATATCCATAGAAAGTGCATTTTCTAAATTGCTGCTACACTGTCTGTACCCACCTTTATCCGTTGGGATATCCCCTTGTCCCACAAACCATAATCAAGGCGTGTAGGCCACGCCTACTTATTAAATCATAAAACAAAAAAGTGTAGCATACTTTTGCGGGTGTCCCAAGACAACGCACACAACACACACATATGGTATTGGTGTGTGTGTAATTATATATGTGTGAGCAGCAGCAACAATTTAGGTCATAAATCATATGGAAAAAGTACACAAAAGGCATGCAAATATTCCCCAATTCCCCCGTATAGCCCACCAGTACACACACACACGGCCTCTTTGCCTACATATAGTATGTGTGTGAGGATATAACGTGTGCATATGCTAAAAGTATGTAGAAAGATTGATTTCCCTTTGTTTGGCTTTTAGTGGGTGGAATTCACCTCAATTCCGCAGGCCTACTCGCGGATGCCACCCTGATGCCACCCTGCCACAACCCCCTAGTCGTACAACCACCTCCCTGAGCACCCACCCCTCTTACCACTGGTGCACTGGTGCTACGTACATGAATCGCAATGGGTGGTAATATTATATGTTGAATGAATGAGGAGTTGCCTGTTGAAATAATATGTTATATTCACTCGATTTCGATTTGTGGCTCTGCCTTTTTCCTTTATATTCCTTTTGCCACATTTGTTTTTTTTGGTAGTCCTTTCAAATGGTGTTAAGATTTTGCAAGCAAAGAGCAGCATTTATATATTATATATTTATTTATTAGATATTTCTACGAGATTGTGCGAAAGATCAACAATAAACGAACATTTCGAAATTTGGTCTAAGAATGGATTATCATAAAAAGTTTGGAATACACTGTTACCTGTTAAATCTCACTATAAAACGTTTATTTCAAACAGTATACTTTAAAATATATAAGAATCCAAAAAAATAATTATTCAATAAATATCAAGAATAACAATTATAATAATAGTTATTCAATAAAAATCAAGAATAACAATATAATAATAGTTATTCAATAAAAATCAAGAATAACAGTTATAATAATAATTATTCAATAAAAATCAAGAATAACAGTTATAATAATAGTTATTCAATAAAAATCAAGAATAACAATTATAATAATAGTTATTCAATAAAAATCAAGAATAACAATTATAATAATAGTTATTCAATAAAAATAAAGAATAAAAATCATAAATAATAATTATTCAATAAAAATCAAGAATAACAATTATAATAATAGTTATTCAATAAAAATCAAGAATAACAATATAATAATAGTTATTCAATAAAAATCAAGAATAACAGTTATAATAATAATTATTCAATAAAAATCAAGAATAACAGTTATAATAATAGTTATTCAATAAAAATCAAGAATAACAATTATAATAGTCGTTATTCAATAAAAATCAAGAATAACAATTATAATAATAGTTATTCAATAAAAATAAAGAATAAAAATCATAAATAATAATTATTCAATAAAAATCAAGAATAACAATTATAATAATAATTATTCAATAATAATCAAGAATAACAATTATAATAATAGTTATTCAATAAAAATCAAGAATAACAATTATAATAATAGTTATTCAATAAAAATCAAGAATAACAATTATAATAATAGTTATTCAATAAAAATCAAGAATAACAATAATAATAATAGTTATTCAATAAAAATCAAGAATAACAATTATAATAATAGTTATTCAATAAAAATCAAGAATAACCATTATAATAATAGTTATTCAATAAAAATCAAGAATAACAGTTATAATAATAATTATTCAATACAAATCAATAATAACAATTATAATAATAATTATTCAATAAAAATCAAAAATAATAATAATTATTCAATAAAAATAAAGAATAAAAATCATAAATAATAATTATTCAATAAAAATCAAGAATAACAATTATAATAATAGTTATTCAATAAAAATCAAGAATAACAATTATAATAATAGTTATTCAATAAAAATCAAGAATAACAATTATAATAATAGTTATTCAATAAAAATCAAGAATAACAATTATAATAATAGTTATTCAATAAAAATCAAGAATAACAATTATAATAATAATTATTCAATAAAAATCAAAAATAATAATTATTCAATAAAAATCAAAAATCAATTATAATAATAATTATTCAATAAAAATAAAGAATAAAAATCATAAATAATAATAATAATAATAATAATAATAAATAATTATTCAATAAAAATCAAGAATAATTCTTATAATAATAATTATATAAAGTATAATTATTATTTTTGATTTTTAATGTGTAATTATTATTTTTTATTCTTATTGTATAATTTTAATTTTTGATTTGAATTTTGTTTGCTTAAAATAAAACTAAAAATATAAAAAAAAAAAATTAAGCGCCCGACGACCCGTTCAAACTGAGTTTGTGTCTCCCTCGCACGCAATCTTTGTCGTGTCGTTCAATGACAGCGCCGTCTGCCGGAGGAGAGCCATACTGACTAAGTATCGGGTATAAATGTAGAGTTGCGGTGTCCGCAGCAACTCACAACGTTCCCCCTCGTTTTTTTTGCCTTGTTCATTTTTGGATGGCAAGGTGAATGACTCTGTGGGGACTCCACTGATGGTGTGGGACTCTAGTGTGGATTTCCATGTAATTAAGGACAGCTGTTGGCGGGCCGCAATTCCCTTAGTGTCTCAAACCGAAGTATTGAAGCATTGAAGCCAAAGCACAGAGTGTGGCAGTAGAACAGTGAAGAAGTGGAGGAGCATAAGGCGAGGGGATCAGGAGACCATGGAGCGTAAAGTGGAGCACGCAGAGAGCCGGAGTTGATTAGTGTAGTGCATAAATTGAACATGTGTTCTAATGCTGAGCTTCTGGAGCTTCCATTTCCTCTTTGTGGCACGATTGTCGCACTGTGTGTGGCACTCTGATTAAATGATTTCATTAAGTGGATTGCTGCTAAAGCTGACAGAAGCGTCAATTAATGACAAGCAGAAATCGAAATCGAAAGCAGCACAAAAAATGCAGCAACTCTAATTACAAATTGGAAGCAAAAGAAGGATAAATATGTACTTGGGCTAATGGTTTTACGGTAAAACCATTAAAAAACTATTCCCAATTGTGCAAATTCAATTTTGTTCCTGCACATCACAGACAATGTCCCATAAATCGTTTGTCGCAAATAAGATTTGTAGAATTTCTGGCATTTATTAATTGGTTTCCGGATATAGTATAGAAAAACGACTCAGCAGACAGAAGCCAATTTGCAGTTTTGTAATGAAAATCTTCAACAGATGCAAGAGAATTTTGGTTATTTATACGAGTGGTGTATGCATTACCACCTGCAACCTGCTACCAGCTTCTGCGGCAACCTCATGGCCCATAGACAATCCCCGCATATTACTCATACGTGCCTCTGTGTGTGGAGCCACCACCAAAGTCAAGTGTATTCTTTGGAATTTACTTGTGTTTTTGTGTCCGCCATGCGGTCGTCGGTCTGTCTGGCTGTCTGTCCGTCTGTCGTTTCTGCTCCTAAATGTGGCCCATATGTGGCTCCATCGTTCTAGCTGCAGCACTTCCTCCTGTGATCTTCCCTCCAGGCTATGGCTATGGCACGGTAATTGATTATCAAATTCAGCGTTGCAGCGTTTGCATGGGGCAATGTGGCATGCGGCATGTGGCAGGCAGCAGCATACCAGCAGCATCGCCAGCATTGGCCTCAAAGTCCTGCCAGGCAGATGCTCCTGTTCTCCTCTCCGGCTCCTCGATTACTTTTTCCCCTTTTTTTTTGGCATAAACTTTTCTGGAGCCCTTTTTTCGTGTCTTTTTTTTGGCATGCTAAAAATGGGCTCATGGAAGGCGTGGCATGGGCCATGGGCCATGTGTGTGTGCCGCTGCTGCTGCTGCTGGAGTTGCAAGCATATTTTTAATGTGCAAAAATCTGTAAAATTTGTGCTATGTCGCTTTGATTGCAGTTTTGGTGAAACATATTTTATTGTCTGTGTGAGTGTGTGTGTGTTGCAGGATAACGAAAGGAGTAAAGGGGGAAAGGGTTGTGGGGAAGCCTGAGCTCTTGGTTATGGGATCAATAAAGGGTAATCCCCAATTCATTTGAGTAAAGGCGGAGTTCCACGTCTTTAATATTATGGATAACGAGTGTTTCAATGGCTTCAACACATGTTTGTAACTCAGAAAATGATACATCTGCAATTTCCTTGGAGTATATATTCTTGACTGGGCGGAAACCTTATTCAATGCACGGTGGAAACTAAAAGCTCCACGAATATTAGATTGAGATTATTCCATGGCATATGAAAATCCTGCCATTAAATCCTTCTACCATTACACAGTAAATGTACACCCGAAGAGCAATATTAATTTAATATTGGCGCAAGGACGTCCTTTCATTGTTCCCTGTGTTTCATTTCATTTATTTTTATTTGTATGCTACCGGGAGCCGCTTCAAAGCCATTAATTCATGGCATTGGGATTCGGCCGCGAGGGCTTTTGAACTGTCAGAAGCCCCACTGAATCCCCAAATGTGACGGGAGATGTGAGGGTGGGTGGACTTTTTATATATTTAAATATTTTTATGAGTTCTCTCGATTAATTAA